TGAGGACCAAGCCTTTAACACACAGGCAGGATTTTTAAGGACATTCCAGATCCAGACTATGTCATCTCCCTTCCACGAGTCACCTGGGAAGGGGATCTTGAGAAAAGCATTTCAACATGAATATTAGAGCTGGGATTATAGCTTGATGGTAGAACCTTTACCTAGCATTAACAAGCCCCTGCATTCATACAGGATGAATATTTTCATTATTTTTTATTTTTCATTATTTTTAACGATTGATTTTATAATCATATATGGGTGTTTTGCCCACATGCATGTCTGTGTACCAAATATGTGTCTGATCTCCATGGAGGTCAGAAGGGGGCATCAGATGACTGGAACTAGAGTTAGAGACAGCTGTGAGCCACCGTGTGGGTGCTGAGAATTGACTGTGGGTCCTCTGGAAGAACAGCCAATGCTCTTCACCACTGAGCCACCTCTCCAGCCCATAGGTGAATCATCTTATGTCTGTAAACATTTTAAATGAGTCTTTCATAACAGAGACTCAGTTCTGACAGGTTTTAAATTCTGTGTTGTTTGTGATACTCGGAGTCAAACCCGGGTTTTATTCTTGACTGTATACCAAGTGCTCTTACTACCGTGCCAACATCCCAAGTTCCTGTTTGGTATACATCAAACTACCCAATGGGAAAGAAGGGTTTGACTTGTTGTTACAGCTGAAAAGTACTTTGTATTGATTCAGGGTTAGGCATGCAAGTATGCCAAGTGCAATTACATTTCCGTCCAGTCTTTACTATGATCATTTTTTAACATTGTTAAGGCCTTATAATAAGCAATGTTGTTTTCTTACAGCTGATTTTTATAGCTTTAAAAAATTTATATTTTTAAAGAAATTTTTATGATTTAACTTTATTTTATGTGTACTGGTGTAAAGGTGTAAGATCCCCTGGAACTGATTTACAGACAGTTGTGAGCTGCCATGTGGGTACTGGGAATTGAACCTGGATCTTCTAGAAGAGATGCTCTTTACCTGCTGAGCCATCTCTACAGCTCTAACTTTAAACATTTTTTAAAGAGCCAGTCGGTGGTGGTGTACACCTTTAATATCAGCACTCGGGAGGCAGAGGCAGGAGGATCTCTGTGAGTTTGAAGCCAGCCTGGCCTACATAGTTAGTTCCTGGACAGTCAGGGCTCTTACACAGAGAAACCCTGTCTTGAAAAACAAAAACAAACAAAAAAATCTTTGAGTTACTCTGTTTTAAAGTTTCCACCAGTGGGATTCTTAGGTCAAGGGAGGTAAATATTTTGAAAATTCTTGACAAGTGTGTGATTTTGTTGTTACTTGCTTTTGAGATAGTGTCTTATGTGGCCCAGGCTGGTCTCATATTCGCTATATAGCTGAAGATGCCTCTACAAGTGCTGCTATTGCAAGGGTACATCATATCCAGTGTTATGTGGTGCTGGGACCCAAACAGGGCTTCGTGCATGTTAGGCCAGCATTCTACAAACTGAGCTGTATCCCTAGCCCATTCCTTTTTTCCTTTAAAGGGGGAGGTGTCTTCTACAAAAGGACAGGAGGAATTGAATCCCTGAAGGTAAGAGTAGGCCCAGGATGAAGATAAAAAAGAGGGAAAGCAGCCACCAGGGGGCAGCTGGGGATCAGCCCAGCAGGCAAAGTGTTCTCTGTGGTAGGCAGGAATCATGGAAGGCCTAAAGCAGTAGGAACATCTGTGCTGACTAGGGCTGTTACCCTTGAGTAGTGTCCACATTTGAACACACACTAATTTAGAAGAGAATGAAGCATAGGGCCTGGTGTCCAGGTCTGAGCTGATGCTGGGGGAGTAAGGGCTCATTTTTAAGGAAAGGGAATTCCATTAAAGAGAGAAAATAAAGAAAAAGAGCTCCCAAGACTCCTTGTCAGATTTGGAACTGACTGTTCTTACCCTGTGGGATGGACCAGTGTATTCTGGTTTCAGTTATTAGTGAGAAAAATTATCTCAATGTGTATGGGGGGGTAACAGGGCAGAGTACATTACACAAGGGACAAGGATGACCTATTTGGAGTTCCCAGGCCCCGTTTATAGCTTAAAACATTTAAGATGTTCTCGAACCCTAGGGTAGGATGAATCCAGGGAAGGGGTCCCAAGTAGCAGGAATATCTACCCATCCTGGGGTTCCATCTCTCGCTTGCGTCCCGGTTGGGCCTTTGCCCCGGCTTTGCAAAGAGGCTCTGAGGTGAGGACTGTTAGTGAACTGCTTGGAGTTGAGAGGTCGAGTTACATTGTTATCCTGGCATGCAGCTTCAGGAAGCGCTCGTGCAGACTGACCCCTTTGGCCTGGTAACTGGCCACCTTTTTCCAGAAGCTCCTCTGTAATCTGACAAGGCCCTTTCTCCCATGGTAGCATGAAGGGATTTGTACTTCAGGGCAGTTTTTCCCACTGAGCCCCTCTGCTCCTGTCCACCCCACATAGCAGGTCTTAAGCATACTCTAGGGACCTTCTCTAATGCCATGACTTTCTCAGACCTGACTTTTGGCTTCTCAGCTTCTGCCAGTACATTAGAGCACATTTCCCCCATCCCTGTCGTGTTTCCTCTTGTAAAGACATTTATTTATGCATGTCTCTTGCCTCATAGAACTACATGCTCTCTCTCTCTCTCTCTCTCTCTCTCTCTCTCTCTCTCTCTCACACACACACACACACACACACACACACACACTCACACACTCACTCCTAGGACAAGAATTAAGTCTTTCTCAGCACATGGTAGCCATTCAGAAAGGATAGCTGTTGAATGAATTAGTGACTGTGAAGGGTCAGGTACGATTCTAGGTAACTGAGTTTTTAATTTAAAATTTTTATGTATGAGTCTTCTTCCTGCTTGTATCTGTGTACCACATGTGTGTCTGGTGCCTGAGACAGTCAGAAAAGGACACTGAATCCCCAGGAACTGGTGATGAGCCATGTGGCTCTGGGAATCAAATACAAGTCCTTTGGAAGAGCACTTAGTGCTCTTAACCACTGAGCCATCTTTCAAGCCCTCAAGATGAGTTATCTTTACATCCCATTTTCAAAGAAACTTGGTCTTATATGGGAAAATAGTCATAAAAAATGTTGTAGGATAGCTTGGCGGTGACGGCGTACGCCTTTAATCCCAGGACTTGGGCGGCAGAGGCAGGTGGATCTCCTTGAGTTTGATGCCAACCTGGTCTACAAAGAGTTTCAGGACAGCCAGGACTGTTAACACAACACAGAGAAACCCTGTTTCAAAAAGCAAAACAAAATAGAAAAACAATGAAGGGACTGAGGATATAATTTGGTAGTAGAGTGTGTGTCTAGCATAGTTTGTCAGTTTGAGCCTTGGCATCACAAACAGATTAAGGGCAGTGCAAAAGTAGAAACGGTGCAGAACAGGGAAGTGCACAGAAGTGACACCCTGGGCTCCAGAATTAGGGTTGAGAACTGAGCCCTAACCTTGCCCTTCATAGCCACAGACATGCACATTAGCATTGAGTTGACTTCTCTGGACCTTAGGACAGAGTGCTCACACAGCAGGGAGCACAGCTGAAGACTCTGAAGTTCTGAGGCAGATAAAGAGGTAAGAATTTTACAGGCACTGGGTGGTGGTAGCACACACCTTTAATCCCAGCACTCAGAAGGCAGATGCAGAAGGATCTCCCTGAGTTTGAGCCCAGCCTGGTCTACGGAGTGCGTTTCAGGACAGCCAAGGCTGCACAGAGAAACCCTGTCTCAAAAAAACAAAAACAACAAAAAAGAACCACAGGCAAAGGCAGCAGCATACACAAGCAAATAGTTTTACCATCATCTTAAGCAAAGTGCTGCTAGGGCTTTAATCCCAGTACTCCGGTACATAGGGAGTGCAGGCTAGTGGAAGCTACTTGGTGAAACAATCTCAAAACAAAACAAAACAAAAAAACAACAACAACAACAAAAACAAAACAAAACAAAAACCCTAAAGGTCCAGTGAGATGCCTTAGGTGCTTCCTGCACAAATCTAAGTTGGATCCACAGTGGTGGAAGATCAGACTCTCAAGGGTTGTTCTCTGGGATGGGCATGGTGCTGCTACCCTTTTTTTTTTTTAATGTGCATTGGTGTTTTGCCTTCATGTATGTGTTTGTGAGTGTGCCAAATCCCCTGGTTACCGAGTTACAGTTATGATCTGCCATTTGGGTACTGGGAATTGAACCCAGGTCCTCTGGAAGAGCAGTCAATGCTCTTAACTGCTGAGCCATCTTTTCAGCCTCCTGTGCCACCACCTTTAATCTCCATATTCAAGAGGCAGCAAGCATCTTCATTCAAGGCCAGTCTAGTCTAGTCTACAGAGTTACACAGAGAGATCCTGTCTCAAAAAAAACAAAAAAACAGGGTAGAAAGTGATCTGGGTAGGCAGCCTTGGTAATAAACACATTGGACCCCCTTGTGTGTGCCCCCATAGAACAGCCTTACTAGAGATATGGCAGTGTACTGCCTGGATCAGTGAATTGATAGCAGACCACAAAATCTCAAGCCTTGGGTTTCAAGTAAGTCTAACTCATGAACATTGAGCCTGTTAGCAGGAGGCCAAACCCTGGTTCTGAATAAAACCAGAGACCCTAAACAGGATTAGATCCAGCAGAGCAGAAGCTGAACTTGCAATAAAATGGCAGCTGGGGCCCCAAATGCAGTCCATCCACAGAATGACTTATTTAGTTATAACACCCAAGTACTTTACTTTTTAAAAGGTTTTTGTAAACATAGCCCAAGCTGGCCTTGAACTCCCTAAGTGGCTGAGGCTGGTCTTAAACTCCTGATATTCCTGTCTCTACCTTCCAAGCACTGGGCTTTTAAGCATGTGCCACCACACCTCTGCAGTTTTACATGGTCAAAAATAAATATATTTTGGATTAATCTGTTTCCTGTGAGCAGTCTGTGAGATACTCCCTCACACTTCTGCTACTGACTTTTCTTCAACATGGACTACACCCTCAAATTGTAAGCCAGGATAAATGCTCCCTTCCTAATGGCAAAAAATGCTTACCTGTTGGTGCCTCGCAGGAATAGTAGTCAGTCCTGCTCTTGTTCACGCTCTCCATTACATAGAAGGCATCTGATCAAAGATGGTTGAGATAAATTGAAAGGAGGTTTTTGTTTGTTTTTCGAACTAGACCCAGGTCTCTCCTAAAGTGGTAGTGTAGGAGTCTGAACTAGATTGGCTGTTCCTGGGGTAACCATGAACCACAGCATAGTGATGGTTACCCTGAGAAGGGACAGTGCTTAGGAGAGCAGCTAGAGTTAAAGAAGGCTATGGAAAGTGGAAGATGCAGACATGCAGATTAAGATGAGATAGGACATGCTGTGGGCAGAGCTAAGAGCACAGGCTAGGAGTAACTTGGGGCTCTAAGCTTGAGCAGTCTATGTGGAAGCTCCAGTTGGCCAGGGGAGGTAAAGAAACACCAGTCCCCATGGGAGGCTGGGTGCCCTGCTGGACTCCGGTCTCCCTGGATTGCCTACTGCTGTCTGGAGCAAGCTGTTTACTGCCTGAGTGGATATGAATCATACATGGATGGTTCAGGCAGGTGATTGGCACCTCTCATGTGTCATTATTATTAATGATTACTGCATTTATTTGGAACAGGGTATGACAGGGAAAATGCCATAAAGGCCTGACATTAAAAAAGAGAAAGAGAGACCAACAAGTGGGGACTTGTGCTTGGGGAATACCAAGTAGGAAGCAAGGGATTGACCTGGGAAATCCAAAGGTAAGTTAGCTGTAGTTATTTTGTGGGGATGGAGGCACTCTAAGGCTGCTAAGAGAAGGATCAGGAAGTCTGTTCTCACAGGAGTCGGCTCTTGTACCCAACTCCTAGTAATATTCTTAACCTTTACCATAGCCCTCCCAGTTATTCCTGTCCTGCCCACTTTATAAGCAAAGAGGCAAAAGCTTGGAGAGTTGCCAGAATTATAAAAATTATCTCATAGCTGTATTCTGGAAGTGCCACAGCCCACTTTGCTAGGTAACCAGGTTCTAATTTGCTGGTGATCAAATTTGTCCATAGCTATGTTCACTAGGATCCTTTGTGGCATGAGATCTCCCTAACCTTCACAGGCTAATCTGCCATAGGAGCTAAGTACAGGGCCTCTCAGTCTCAGTTTGTTCATGGCCCAGACCTTCCAGCAGTAGTTGAGCTAGCACTATGGTGTGCCTGTGGACAGATCTACCCTTTACTTTAGTAAGCCCAGGGAAGTTTGGGGTATGGTCCCAGTCACCGGGGTGGGGTGAGGTGGGAATGGGAGGTGTCACTCTAAGTATGAAGAGCTTGCTTACCTCTGCACCTGTTTGTCACCTGCAGGAAGTGGGTGACTAGTAACAGGGCCACTTTCACAGCTGAGCTGAAGAGTAGGTAGATCCTTAGCTTGTGATGGCGGTCTGCTGATGAGGAAGTTGAGGCTTGAAGGTTTGCTCAGGAGCAAAAGCCTGAGTTCTCTACTCTGGACTGGCACAAAGGCCATTACCCTTCATGTTTTACACAGCTTTCTGTCTGTGGCATGGAGGGTCCAGGTAGTTGGGAGCAGGCAGGAGCAGGGCTTGTTTTGTTGTTCACTTCCTGCCATGAGGCACTGATAGAAACGCCTTTATAACTACAGTCCTCACTTGCCCAGGGCAGGGTCAGGATGTCCAGCACACAGGACTGAGGCAGAACGCATTTAAGTCTTGGCTCAAGGCCAGGTCTATAACATAAGTATAATTGGGTTGCAAATTCTGTAATGGTCACAAAGCCACATGTCTGCAAAATTCCAGTGTGCTAGGTCAGCCTTTCTTTGCTAACTCGCATCAAATGGCCAACCCTCGATTCTGCAGTTCACAAAGTGTAGCAAGTTACCCAAGAGTTCATGTAAATGGATGACTTACTTTAAAAATCTAGCCAGAAGGGGCTGGAGAGATGGCGCAGTCTTTAAGAGCACTGACTGCTCTTCCAGAGGACCCGGGTTCAATTCCCAGCACCCACATGGCAGCTCAGAACTGTCTGAAGATCCAGTTGCAGGGGATCTGACACCTTCACACCATTGCACATAAAATAAAGTTAAAATAAACCATAAAAAATATTTAAAAAAAAGAAAAAAAAGAAAAAAAATCTAGCCAGAAAAAATTTACCTTTAAATCAGAATAGCAATGTGATTACTATTAACGTGGAATTATGCAGTTTTGTGCTTTGTCCCTCTTGCTGTTTATCTTCTCTCCTTTATTATTACTTGTTTTTTTTCTTCTTGTTTGGAGATCAAAGACTTTCTATTCATTTTGAGATTTCTCAAGATCCCTGGAGTATTGGAAGCCTCCCAGTCCCTCTCGTGACTGGTTTTTGTTTCCATTATTTCTCCTTTTAGGGGCTCAGTCAGTAAAATGCTTGTCTTGCAAACACGAGGACCTGAGTTTGAGCCCTTGAGCCCATGTCAGTGCTGTGCACTTGTTCCCAGAACTGGAGGTGGATCCAAGGGGCCTGCAGGCTAGCCCACTTGGCGAACTCCAAGTAGTGAGAGAGCACCTCTAAAAACAAGGTGGATGGCTCCTATAGAACAGCACTGGAGACTGTCCTCTGGCCTCCACATGTGCACATCTGCACATACATAAACATATACATACACAGAACTAAGACTATCTTCTCTTCATACATTCACAACTAATGAACAACAAAACCAGCTATAACATGTGGGGCTGAACCTCCTGGTCATAATGTTTTTCTCCCTGCCATGTCCCTCCAATTCTAGCAGGTCATTGCTTTGAGTGGACTACCCTACCTGTTAGCTGTCACCAACCTATCACCTTTTGCCATTTTCCTCTTGTACTCCTCATTACTTGAAAGCAATACGTAAATCTCTAGTCAGGCCAAGGGCTGTTTTGTTATTACAGAGCTTAAAAACATACCTGGTACACAAGCAGTGCAAACAAGGACTGAATGAGTAAATGAGTCCTGGAAACCTGTTTTTTGGTGGGAACATCTACCCATGAGGCACAGGGAACTGGTGCAATGGAGAATTATTTACTGCCCCTCCCTGACAAGGGGTATAGATAGACTGCTGATGTCCAGGCCCCAAAGACACAGTTGAAAAACTGGACTCAGGGGAGCAGGCAGAGTATCATACTAATGTTTTTAATATAGTCTGATCAGATCAATTCACATCACAAGGTCAACCTGGGCTTGCTCAAGTGTAACACAACCAAGGTACACAATGTCTCTACCTGAGGCTCTTCCACTTTCCTGGCCCCCAACACCATTGAAATCGCTTCCTGATCAGACTGGAATTTTTTTTAAAATTTTGCATAAAACTATTTCTTCCATAGACTTCAAACAACTAGCCAAGTTTATTATGGTACATCTAAACAAAGTTTAATACTAACCCTAAAGTGTGACTGCGGTTTACAAAGAGCTCTGTGTCACCTGGGGTAGCTTTCAGTAGCAACTCACTACAACTGGTCCTAAAAATAACAATAATAAGAATTAGAGAATCAAAACCCAACAGCAAGTTGAATGGCTAAAATCAAGTAAGAAACTGGAATTTGGGATAGAGGTGCCCTCAGTAGATAAGCTTGTCCTGGCAGTGAAATGTTAGCTTCCAGTAGCTCAGGAAGACCAGGGCCAACCTCAAAGGGCTCTCAGAGGACACTCATTCTATGGTCCATGGGATGCTGTAGGTTTCTGTCTTTCTTAAAAATAGTTGGCCATGAGAGGGCAGAGACCCAGCTGTAATTTCCTTTTGAGGACATAGGAAGGGGAAGGAGGAATGAAAGAAGTTGGTTGGGGGGCACCAAAACCACTGAGATTCAAGATAACCAAGAGCTGAGTACCAGAAGCTCTCACTCAGAACTAGAAGAACCAGGACCGGTGCTGCCAGAGAGGCCTATGTAGTGTTTTCTGCCCTTGTCCCATACCGGTCTCTCAATTATTTCTGCAGAGAGTATCGGATGAGAGTCTGTTTGTTTCTAAGGCCATCAGGAGAAATGGGTGATGGACAGGGAGGGGAGTAGGGTAGGGGCAGGGATGGAGGTTAAAAATGAATAAAAATCTCTCAGCTCCAGAACCCAAAGACATCACTTCCCTCCACATTTGCAGCATTTCTTGGCAGTCCCCAGAGGCTGTTCTGTGGGGACATGGCATGTCTCACTTCCCTTCAGGCCCCATGGGCTGCTGGTCCACTTCAGGATCCACTAGAGATGATGCAAACGCTGACTGGACAATCTGAAATCCAAAGGACTCAAGAAGAGACATGTTCTGCTGGGGAGAGAAAGGTGAGCCAAGGGCAGGGCCTAGGTCCCCCAAGGGACCCCCAAGGGCCCGTACATGCACCTTCTGGATGTGTTTGTTCAAGTAGGACTTAGAACGGAAGAAGCTCCCACATTCAGGGCATGGGTACTTCTTCTCCCCGTCAGAGTCCATTTTGTTTTTAGGAACTGCCATGTCACAGGAGAAAGAGCCATTGGCACTCTGTTTCTCTGGCGTCTTCAGGTCACTGGCGTCAGAGAGGTCACCATAGGAATCAGAGCTCTCAATCAGATCCTGATGTGAGCATTTCTGGCCTTCTATGAAAAAACAAAACAGGGAAGAGATGAGGCCAGGCATTGGATCTGTCCCCTCCTGGAGGGACCATGAGAGGCCAGCTCACAGGTTCTGGAGGGCCAGTTGGCCATTAACTAACCTGGCAGAACCCACGGAGGTTTGGCTGGTCTGTCTAGGAGTCTAGAATGCCTATAGGAGCAAGATGACAGTGCCTGGGGCCACCAGTCTCCCTCACTTTAAACTCTTCATGCAGATGTGTGTGTAGAGTTCACAGCCTGCTTTAAGGAAGGAAGGCTAGGAGGGGAATCCCTCCTACTTCTGCCCAGAACAACCCAGAGATGCCCAATTCCTAGGTGCTTCCAGAGGTGCCTCTGGAGTAAAACTATTCTGATTATGATGAGCAGATGCGTCAGTGGCCTGTCCGCTGCACTAGGCCAGTGGCTACCTTCACAAAGCAGGCACAACTGGAACCATGAGATCCTCTACTCAGCTAGATCTTACTGATGGCTCAGATAGCACCAACCCTTACACGAGGCTTTTACAACCTTTCCACTTCTGCAGAGACCCTTCCAGGACCATACAGCCAAAGTACACAGAAGAACAGCAACTCTGAACAACTTTGTCAGCTGGGTAGCCCCGTTCACACCAAGAAATGGCCCTTACTGTCCTACCTTGCCTGGCCCACACTGGGGTCTACTGCCAACTAACAGCTTCCTGCCTGGGTCCAGAGAGCCATGCCAGGATGGGAGGTCTGTGATGGGAGCATGGAGCATGCCATCTCTACCATCTGCCATGCCCCTGGCGAAAAAGCATTAACAGTGTGACACCAAACAACATGAACCAACAAGTTAACAGTGAGCCTGGAAACTCCTGTCAAACAAACCAACTCCAAATCAGAGGCAATCAGGTAGCTCATTTACTGCCATGCACCTCACAAATGCAGTCAGAGGCTCCTTGGAAAGGGCCACTTGTGACAACAAACCACCAATACCATGGAAGAAGACAGCCACTGGCTCCCACCCACCCATAGTAACAACCAAGGAGAAAACGTTCAGCCACAGGTCCATACCATCCTACAGGGCAACAGGCAGTGGGTAGACACACAGTAATTCATCATGCAGTGCTCCTCTTCTGGCCCTAGGGCAACCCTGCAGGGCTCCAGACAATAGGGGCTACCCAAGAGGAAGGAAGGCTGGGGAAGAGGAGGCAGGCTGGATCAGCAGTACCCTAAAGCCTCACTCACCTGGGAGTGAGATACCCATGATAACTTTGTCCTGGAGAGCACTGCGATTCTTGCCTCCCCACCACCCAGCCCAGCGCCCCCACAACACAGTCTGCGCAGAGAAGCAAAGTGCAGAGCAAGGGGTCGCTTGCCTTTGTTGCCATAGGTCCTGGCGCAGTGGAACGCTGCTCCCCCATTCAGGATGGGTTCCTGGTGCCTGGAGACCTGGGGAAGGGGAACACCGTGGTGGGTTTTAACATGGACCTTTAAGTAGGAGGCAGAGGAGAAACCTAAACAAGACAAAAGGAGATGAGATCCCACAGCCAGCAAGAGATATCTCTCTGCTCCCCATGCCTTTTCTTTGGCATCTCTGGCTAGCATTCCCTGGTCAGCTGCACCTGGAAGGGGTTCTCTCCTCGGCTCAGAAACATCTGCAATCACGTCAGGCCATGATGTCAGGATGGAGAGTGCCACTGTCCATGAGTCAGCTTCTCTGGAAAGGCTACATTGAAGGGCCCAGGCCAGCCAGCTTGGCTCACTTGGTGCCTCAATACCAGGTGATTTGAGTGACGTCGCACAGGCCCAAGTCAGCTGCAGAGACCATGGCTAGAAATGTGGTCAGATAAGCATATGGGGTTCCAGCCAGCAGAAGCCTGCTTATCACTTACAGGGAAACCCAATGGAGACAAAATGATGTCCCCAAGGAAGCTTCCAGGGGATAGAGCATGTTGAAGCAAACTCTATTTTAATTTTTCCACCTTCAGAACAATAATTTAAGAACCGATTCCACCTTTTGAAGAACAGAGACAGGGAGTTACACAAAAGTGGCATCATGGTCATCCCTTGTCCATGGTGGTCTTCTGGGTTTGATTTAGGAGCATCTGTCAGGTTCTCGCAGGATGATTTCCAGGCATCGTAGAACTGCTCCACTTTACTCCCTGTGCACCCGTCAGTTTAAGGCACGAGTATCTCAGGCTAGAAGAACAGATCTTGAGCTGGTTTCCATAAATGTCACAAGGCCTTGCAAGGACGATAGCCACAGAATCAGGCAGGCCAAAAAAATGACTGGCTTGAGTTTCACAGGGAAGAAGTGTGTCATCAAATCCCACCATAGTCAAGGATCAGAAAGAACCATTAGCAGGATCCAAAGCTTTTTAGTATAATGCTCACTTAGGTCAGTGCCCTCATTTTATTCCTTTAATCCACTCCAGATCTGGCCAGCACATTTAGGTATTTCAGCTTCTG